AAAATCCAAAAAATAAAATTCCCCTAATGTAAATTCAACATCAATCATGATGAATGCTGAAACCACGAAAAAAAACACAGGGACAAATGCCGAATGACAGGTAAACATGGGGGCATTTGGCGAGCAACATGTCCCATGCAGAGATACTCGCTCAATGACAGGTAAACATGGGGCAGCTCACCTGTCAATAGACGTGTGTCCCTGGATGGGACACATCGTGTTCAACAGGGGTCATTGTTTCTTTTTCCATGCGGGTTGGCGTTCATCGTGATTGACATTTGATCTACTTCGGGGGATATTTATTTTTCTTTCTTTTTTTTTTAATAAAGGACTTGTCAAAAACTGTCTTTGTTTTTTTTTTTACTTTCCACATTTTTTTTACTTTCCTGGCCTGCCGGGCTGAATGCTTAGATAACGGTCTGGTATGGATTTTTTTTGGAGGGGCAAGCCTTTTTTTTTACATTTTGGTGTGGGGTTCCCCTCAAAATCCATACTAGACCCAAAGGGCCTGGTAAGGATTGGGGAGGACCCCCATGCTGTTTGTTTGTTTTTTAACCCACATTTCTTTTGTTTGCATTGCGCTGATAGTGGGGAATCCACCACCCGCTCCTTAACATCCACAGCTATTCACAATGAATTTGGATTATAACTGAAGGAATTAAAAAATTACATAATCCGAAAGAAAAAAATTAATGAATGCATTTTTTTTTTTTTTAACTTTTTTTTGGATTTGTTGTAATTTGTTTCTATGTCTGTTAGGAAATTCTGATGCATCCAAAAATGAAATTTTTGTCAGAAAAATAAATCTAGGTGGGGGTGGAGAGGTGAGGGGAAGGGAAAGGTGGAAGAGCTGGGCCAGTACAGACAATATTTAGACACTCTCAGAGTAGGAGAGGGCTATGACATGCAATGGGGCAGGAGGCTATTCTAGGAAACTGATGCTTCCTGTAGTAACTTAATTTTCTGGAAAGTACAAAGACATATTGACAGTGAGTAAAATATCATATACGGAAAAGAAAAACACTGCAGTTATGTATTTAAAATACTTAATTTTTGGTGCTTTTACCTACAGTTTTTTAAAGTTGTTAAAAAGGTCATAAAGCCCAATTCTGAGCAGAAGAAAAAATACCCTTGCAGTGAACCCCCTCTTCCATTTCTTCCTCACAGTGCAAGAGTTAACTGCTCATTACACCTAGGAGTAGATGAAATAAGAATTAATACTTTTCTTACTCCTCACTCCTGTAGGCTTCCTCTATTTGCCTGCCTCCTTTATGTACATTGTAGGTGTAGCACTACCCCCTTAGGGGTCGCTGATGAATTGAGTCACCTTATAGTCCTGCACAGCCAGGCAGTCTGCATTCTTCACACAAGTTTGCATCCGGAGTCAGAAATCAGTCCTCGAGCTTTGTTTTTAAGTTTTATTAAGGGGATTTAGATCTGGGATAGGGTAAAGGGGTATAGAATGCCCAAGGGAACCGACAACTTCCTGGAACTATTCACAAGCTTCTTCTCTTTTGCTACTCTGTTTGAGAGCTAGCCAGCATCTCCTTGATGTATCACTCCAGACACTAAATAAAATTCTCCTCTTCACCAAGCAATCTGGAGATTTTCCTGAGCAGGGGATCTGGTTCCTGTCCCTTTAGAGAGGTGAACAGTCACTAGTAGGGGGCTAATCTGGTTTCCCACCAGAGTGCTCCTTTCCCTATCTGCCCAGGGGGTGCAGATTTACTCACTCAGATTCTCTCCTGTACTGCTTGTGGGTTGGCTGCTGCTTCCAGGACTATCCTCTGGGCAACTCCTTCTCTGCCATACAGGTGGTCTTCTCTATGGGGGCATGTGAGTTCCAAGCTTTCCTGCTTTTCAGCTCCAGGCTCGCAGGCAGGCCCCTTCCCACTAGGCCTCCTGGCAGCCCCCTTCCTCCGCCTCACATCTTCACAGTCCACCCTCCTCCCTCCATCTCTCCACACCTGCTACTGAGCAAACTCTAACTATTTTATGGGAGTCCCATCCCCTTGCCAAGCCTTCTGTTGGGAATTGGCTTAAGTCCCTCAGGAGTGCAGCCAGCCAGCGCAGCCAGCCACTGCTCAGATCCACCCACTGCCTCCAAGGCTTTCCTCCAAAAGCCGCAGAGCAGGGGGAAATTCCATAGGGGCTGGCCTGAAAAGTCTCTCAGCCCTGACCACAATTTGACCCCTCTGGCTATTACACCTGGGCTGCTATTCAGCTCTTGTCTAACCATTAGTGTCTAGCTTCCACTAGCTAAGCTAGGTGGGTGCTACATAAATAATAAAACCGTACATTAAAAAATGCATAAAAAATGTAAAGGGCCATGCACAAATATATCATTATATATAATGTATGATGCCAGTAGGAGGATATACACCATGCCTGAAAATGCTTCAGCAGTGGCGAGTGATGGCGGAGGAGATTAAGTCTCTTCCTAGGAAGGCCCTGGAGAGGAGGGTTGTTGAATCTGCCTTTAGCGAGCCATTGGCCTTGAGGGATTGCCCAGGCCCTGGTAAGAGGAAGGGTCTGCGTTTGATGAATCTGGAAAGAATCTCTTTAAAGTTTCGGGATTTGGCCTGGCTCTCGCTCCATGAAAGACTCTATGTAAAGGGCAACCTGAAGTATCGCTCTGCAGAGAACTGTGGTTGTCCAAGAGTGGATTGTGGTGGGGGGCTCTGGGTATCCTTTTCCTTGAGTTAAGCGGAATGGTCTTGCTGAGCCTTTCAAACTCACCAGGATTTTGATTTCGAGACACTTTTTTTAGTTAGCTTACTAGTCCGTTACTACACGTGGAATGCACGGTGTCAGGTTTCCATTCGCAAAAGAGTTCTTCCTGTTGAGGTGCTGATGCACAACATTTTGGGTGAGTTCAGGAAGATTTGGGGTCTTGAGAAGGACAGGTGGAGGGCGGGTGCCTGGACAAAGGCGTGGAGGAATGTCAGGTCCCCGTAACTACTGTTTGTCAGTCTCTGGGGACCTGGCTTCCCTTTCTGTCCTTTCACGTCCCCTAGATTTTTGTAAGATCAGATTTTTTAAAAAAGGCTGCATGCGTGGGATAAATGTTTAATCGTTTCTTAGACTGAGGGTGTGTTTAAGTGTAGGTAGGGTTTGTTGAAATACATTATAAAGATGATAATAATATTAAAATATGATTAGTTCTGTTTATGTTTTTTTCCTGTCGTAAAAGCCATTTCCTGTTTTCTATGCTGAAGTAAGCTATTTTTTGTTTAAAAAAATAAATAAATAATAATATTTTTTTTTAATTCTGTATACAATATATGTAAATATGTTTTTACTATGTTGTTTGTTTGTAAGATTTTTAATAAACAAAACTTTACACCTGGGCTGCTACTCAGCCCCTGTCTAACCATTACGATTTAGCTCCCCCTAGCTAAACTGGGGTTAATAGTCCTGCATTGTACATGATGACATGGAGGGACCCCCTACAGCTTGGAATGGAGGCAAGCACTGGAGCCTGCTAGAGGTTAGTATTACAGCCTCTTTATCTCTTCCTAGACCTAACGAGCATTTAACCCTTGTAGTGCAGGAGATCGGGTGGGAGGCACTGGAAAGGGTTTTTCTCTTCATCCCAGTTGGGCTTTAACATACATCGCCTAGCCTATAACACCTGTCACAGTGCATCAGGGGAGAAACTTCTTATACTCTGATGTGCTCAGGGAAATCTCCAGAGTTTAGGTAAGAAGTGAAATGTATTGACAATAAATGAAAGTCAGTTTTATGATCAATTTCTAGTTATTTGAAGCAGGCAACTTTTTAAAGTTTTCTTTTTACACCTTGATTAATGATTCACATATTATTTGTATACATCTACTCTCGAGTTGTTGTCATGCAGTAGTAAACATTCTGTACATTATTCACTATGTCATTCCAACACTAACAAGTGAGGCATATGCGGGTGAGCAGAGGGAATTCACTACATAACCAGCCAATCAGAAGCACAAGATCATGTAAGCCAAGTTTGCAATCATTTCCAGGGGGGACAATCTGCATATATGCTGAAGTATATTCATTCTCCTATGCTGGCCATGCATACAAAGACAAATAATTAATTTTTTGAGTGACAATAGATTTGATCAATCTAAACCAACCATTCTCAACTAGGGTTCCTCTAGAGATTGATAAAGGTTCATTGAGCTGTGGCTGATTGCCCTTCTATCTGATGTCTGTAGAGGGGCATTCTTCCCAATTACCCCCTGATTAATTCATTTTAACTGGGGTTTCCTGAGACTTGAAAATTATTTCAAGGGTTCCTCTTGGGTAAATAAGTTGAGAAAGACTGATTTTAACAATCCTGTTCATGATAACAATTTTATGTCACGAACATTGTGGCCAAATTTGATTTGATTTTCCATCATGACCAAATGTTCATGACAAAAACAGTTACTGATCAAAATGTGCATTTAGTGTACAGTTCTGTCATAGAAGAACTTGTTATAGGGAACAACTGTATTGATACATATAGGGCCTGCTTAGCACAACATAAATTCGTATTCTTGCCATCCTTCTATTCACATGTGTTCTCATTAAAGGTAGAATACAGCCAAGTACAACATTTATTAATGCCTTCCTCCTAGTATTACAAGGATTACCGTACCAATGCATACATTAAAACGGCATATCTTCAACATGCTTTTTGTTTTGTTCCACATTATTTATGTCAGGAAAACAGTTAATGAGGATCCAGCTGACAGTCGCAGCTGCTCCTCTGCTGGCAGGATGGCATATGCTAATGTTGTGTGAAGCTAGGAACAATCTGAGGGCAAACTTAATGCACTTGGCAGTGACAATCCAGATAGGGACAGCCAAAGAAAGTCACCCTTCTATACATATTTTATATGGAACTGCAGATTCACAGCTATGGTAATAGGGAAAATAAAGTACTGTTGGTGTTTAAAGATAAATCCTGGTTTCTGGATAAGTATTGTTTGCGAATACGAGAATACAACCATGTTCCTAATTCTTACTATGTTTTGTTTGTTTTAGATGGGCCAGTAACAGTCGGAATGAGTTTGGATATTGCCAGCATTGATACAATATCAGAAATTAACATGGTAAGCTGACCAGATGGGTATAATCTTAGCCAGATCTATGTACTGCTCTAGTCCTTTGATTGATCAAGGATAAAATGCATTTTAAATGGACACTTTTGGACTGAGGTTTTATATATATATATATATATATATATATATATATATATATATACAGTGCTCAGCATAAATGAATACACCCCAACAGATTTGTCAGAAAACCTTTACTTTCTTTTTAGGATCAACTGATTGCAAACAAGATTTGTTAATTTGCACACACAAAAAAGTATTTTTCCCAACAAATTCATTCAAGACCATGTTGCAAAAATAAATACACCCCAACGAAAGCTAACAAGGAACAAAGCTAAATTTTAGACAACAAAATCCTAATGAACAAAAATTCAACTACAGGTGAGTCTAATTATTCATTAAACAGGTGTCTAACAGATAGTTGATTATAAAAGGACATTACTTAACGAAGAAAACCCCTTCCCATTTCATGCTGTCAGTAATGGCACCACATGGAAGAGAAATGTCACAAGGCCTGAGAAAGAAAATTATTTCTTTACACAAGAAAGGTGAAGGCTACAAGTAGATCAGTAAAGCTTTACTTATCAGTCAGAATACTGTAGCAAAAGTGATACCAAAAATGAAACTGCAACCATCTCACAGAGACATCTAGGCCGTCCACAGAAGTTAACACTTCGACAGGAGCGTTTTCTGATGAGAAGGGTTGAAGAAAATCACCTTGCAAGTTTGCTGCAGTTAGCTAAAGAAAGAAGTAGAAAGCCAAACTGGGGTGATTGTTTCCCATGACACAATACGGCGTACACTGAAGAGGCACGGAATGCATGGGTGTCATCCACGAAGGAAACCTCTTTTAAAGCCCATGCACAAAAAAGCCCACCTAGAATTTGTCATGGCAGTATAAGAGATATTGATTACATTTACTTTACTTACTTTTCAAAAGGGGTGTACTCATTTATTCTGCTACATATATATATATATATATATATATATATATATATATATATATATATATCCCCCCTCCCCCCCAAAAAAAAAGAGTCACCACACCTGCTTTCTTGATGAACCTTGGTTTTTATTTGGTATGTGCACATGTACAAACTATCTATCTATCTATCTATCTATCTATCTATCTATCTATCTATGCACCTATCTATCTGAACACACACACACATGCACACACACTTTATAAAAGCTTGCTTTTGCAATTAAATATTTATCACATATCAAAGAACTCCTAGAGCACCATCGGTTATCCAAAGAGATAAAAAAGCAGCTCCTTGCCATCAGGCTCATCCTGTCTGAATCCTCTGGCATAGTCATATTGAGGATAGAGAAAAGTCACTGTTCTGTTCTGACTCTGATTTTTGAACTTTGACTACTACTTAGGAAAATTCTACAAATTAGTAAAATAACATATCCAAAAAAACGAATATACATTTTTAAAAACTTTTTTGAATTGCAGTTACTTTTTACTATCTAGAGAATCTTTTACATTAACCTTTACAATGCAGAATGTCTCAGAATAGATTTTTTTTTACTTCAGGATTATACTGCGACTATTTTCCTGAGACAGCGCTGGACAGATGAAAGGCTTATCTTTGAAGGCAACAAGAGCCTAAGTCTAGATGGCCGTCTGGTGGAATTATTGTGGGTCCCTGATACATTTATAGTCGACTCGAAAAAGTCATTTCTTCATGACATCACTGTGGAAAACCGCCTCATCCGGATTTACCCAAATGGAACGGTTCTTTATGCTTTAAGGTACACACTTAGCATTAATACTTTGTAAAGTGGTCTACACAGGTCAGCATATAGGAAAATAGATAGGAAACAATGGTGAAAACATTTTACAGCAGTAATTCTCAAAAAGGGATCTGTGGAACCCTAGGGATCTCCAGAAGTTGCCAAGGGTTCCTTGAGCTGTGGTTGATTGACCTCCAATCTGATGGTGCTTGCGTAATTCCAATGGTGCTTAGCAGAGCCAGCTGAATGACACCAATTATCTTTTTATCTGTCTGTAAGTGTGGCATCCTAACTACCACACCAAGGGGGCATTCTTTCCATTAACCACTAATGAAACCATTTTAGCTCAGGTTCCCTGAGACCTGACAATTTTTCAAAGATTCAGAAAGGGTAGTTCTCCAGTGTTCCTGGAGCACAGAGTAGAATATATGGCTAGCCATGATAGCCATTTGAATACATTATGGAAATATTGTTTTTAAATATTTTCTGTTTAGCAGAATTTGTATCTTAACTATAGAACATAACTCTGTTGTGATGAATTTGAAATTGTGCTGCTGTGTTTGTCCACTCCTCAGCATGTTATAGCAGGAAAGGGCTAAAACCAAACTTTCAGTGAAATAATGTGGTGGAAGAAGAGTAGAAAAGATGCTGAGGTTTTGAATGTATACTGCAGGTTTCCATATGATCTTACTACAAGGCAAGGAAGAAGGTTATTGTAATGAGATTGATGGCACATCATTTTAAACCATTATACTGGAGGCAGGTTCTTTACAGTATCAAGTATAACCGCCTATTTCCAGACATTTGACAAATTTGATAAGTCGAGACAGGGAATTGAGATAAGCTCTGTAAACATAATTTTTACACATTGTATTTAGCTATGGCAGAACATTATGATTAAAAACCATTTATATATTGAAATGTGGTTTATATGCAGCAGTTTTCAGGTGACAAAGTATGTAATATCAGTGATTCTCACATTTATCACTTAAAATAACAAGTGAAACGCTTATCCCCACAGGAGCCTCTTTATATGATGGGTTCTCTGTTCTGCCATGACTCTTCCACTCTAAATTAAGTGTATTAGGACAGGGCAAGGTAACACAAGTAACAAACCAATAAATGGTCAAAGATCACTAACATGGATTCCACAGCACTAATAAGGAACTGCATAAACAGCGAGATATATAGAAATAGTAAAAGAAGACTCACAGTAACTCTGCAATAACCAATCAATGAAAGAGTCTTTGAGTGCACTCTGTAGCGAATCTTAAGCCGGTTGACATTGGGGCCCAATTCCAAGACTGTTCAATGGATAGCTGATGGGCTGCTAAATAGGGACAGTCTCTATTGGCATTAACTGTGTGCAGCAAGGGATTAAGCTTGGTAGTTCAGCTCACCACTCCTGGCATGCAATAGATCTGGTTCCATATGCTTGGCAGTCATTTGTCCCAGAAATATCGCGATCAGGTCCTCACAATCAGGTGTTCACTAATGTAGGCTCACACGAAAATGGGTCTCCCCAGCTCTGGTTCCAAAACACAGCAAAACTCTGTGGCTCAGTCTCTCAGCTCTCTAGGTGCTCAGAACACAGCAGCAGGTCTGTACACACTGGTACCCCTACTGCTTTTTTTCCATTGTTGCTGTCTCTCCAGGGTCACTGATATGTAAAATAACAGGTCTGTACTTTCTACTTCTCCTTGGTAAAGACCCTGTTTCCTCTTCCAAAGTCCATCAAAAGTTCTTTCCTCTCCTCTGTTTTTCCAGGATTATAGGTTTTCATAGTTTTCCAGCCATTTGCCTCTATGGCACAGCATGCCCCCAAGACTACAGTTCCCAGTGTCCCCTATGTGGCTGCATAGTAAGTCCTCTCTGCCGCTAATTGGCTGAAAGTTGCTGTCACCAGGAAGGAGGGGGTGGGAGAAAAGCAGGAGCAAGTGGGGTAGGACACATGGCCCATTCTGCTCACACAACAGGGAAGTGAGCGGAGAGCTCCTCTCAGACCTCGCACAGTGGTGAGGGGGAGGGAAGGGAGGAGCAGACAGAGGACAGCCGTCAGGCACCCAGCTACACAAGCAATACTTGCATGAAGAGTCTTCATATTAGCACCTGAGCAGCAAATGTATAAAAGTGCTTACTTGTTTCCTGATAAGAGTAGGGACGGGATAGTAACCCTCCCCATGCACACTTGCGTTGAGGCAAGCTAAAATGCTTGAGTTAATGTGCATTTGTTATGCACTTGCTCTGTATATGGTGTGTTGCGAGACCAGTTGTACCTTCCATTGTGAATGGCACCCAACGCATTGTACTGTAGAGACCAGTGCACAATGCAAATACAGTATGTTGTGGTGTGCTGTGTTTCCATATTTTTGTACTTTTTTTTACCTGCTATGGCAGCCTAATGATAATGCAGTGCAATGCAAGCTAACTAATGCACACTGCAACAGAATGCATACGTGTGAATGGTTCCCTCTGTTTTTTTTTTTGCTCTCTGTGTCTCTGCTGTGGTCATATAACATCTCAGAGTCACCAGGGAAGTTAATGCTGGAGAAAGTGATATTCACTCAATACTCTAAAATCACATAGTATAACATTGCTGTATCAAACCATTTCACATACATTTTGTCCCGAGTGCTTTGTTCTGCGCCCTGCCTGCATTTTTACTGTTCTTACTGCCTGGAAACTGAGAAACGTCCAAAAAGCGTCCCTTTAAGTCAAAAGCGATTTTAGACCAGCTAGAGAACAGAGATAGTAAATTAGAACCACTTGCAGAATTGAGTGATAATGATTCGTGGGGAAATTCGTCATCAGACACTGAAAACTATTTTGCGACTTTGCTCAGTGATGTGCGAACTTGGCGCTCTATTTCAAATTTCAGTGTTTTTGGTTTGATTATATTATTGAATTCAATTTATTATTATTAGAATATAATTTTTTATGATTATTTATTATATTAGAATTTATGATTTCATGTTTCAAATTTTATCATACCTGGGATGTTTACTAGACTCTTGTTCGGAAAGATTTTAGTAAGTTATTTCTAAGAATTACAAGCCTCCATTAAAAAAACAACATATTTCCATGCAAAAAATGTACCGCTTTGAGCACAGAAAATACTGACATAATTAGACTGCCAGGGAGGTTAATGTCACCCCAAATGTGGGTAGCAGTCACGCACTTTGTTGTGCAACAAAACGTAAGGTGTAGGAGCTACTTTGGTGCGTTTTGTTAGGTCACGTGAATGGGCGGCCCTATGCTGTCATGTGATAAACTCATAACATGTAAAAAAAATTATACATTGCAAAGGTGTGAATGAGGCTTGAATGGAACGTCATTTTGACATTTCCAAAAAGTTTTCAAAAAACAGGTTAAATCATGTGTAGTGCCCTCCTGCATAGGTGATTAGGCTATAGGCTGACTCTGGGAGGAGCTTCTGGAGCCTAGGGCGCGAGGTTTCAAATACCCATCCCGAATATTTAGTTGGGCCTATCCAATCCCTGGGGAGGTGTGCCCAGATGGTAGATGGGTTCCCGATAAACAGGCTGGAGTCCAGAGGAGTGGGTCTTATTGTGTGGATCTGTGAACTCCAGGGGCTGCTTGCCCTGATGCACTCTTAGGCTGTACCCTGGACTACTTTGGGCATTCTAGGATCCCGTGAGTAGAGCCTCTTTACTTGTAACAAAGTTTTCATGGTCCCCAGCCATGAAACATGGATTGCCAACAACAAGAATAGTCTCTTACGCATAAATGCAATAACCCAGTTGATAGACAATTGAAGCCTTGCTGCCATCTAAGACTGGGGATTTCCTGTAACAACTGGAAATGACAGAAAAGAACGAGGGCACATCAGCCTAGTGCATTGTCCAAAAGATTTTTAATATAAAACCAATATAAAACTACTCACAAGCATAGGAATAAAAATGCTCATCAGGCCACACTTCCGTGGCCAAATAGGACAGTGTCCAAAGCACAGGGGGATCACACCGAGGTCCCTGAAGGTTGACGCGTTTTGAAGGGATGGGATGTCTTTCTTCCTCAGAGCCTCTGAGTACGGTAAGTGTGGCTTGATGAACGCTTTTTGTTCCTATGCTTGTGAATAGTTTTAAATTGGTTTTTATATTAAAAAATCTTTTGGATAATGCACTAGGCCAGTGTTCTTTTCTGTCATTTCCAGATGAAACATGGATTGCTTCAGTCTCCTATCACCTGCTCTACACATTGTTGCATGGTCTTCAGCTGTGCACCTACAGACTGCTCTAGTTTGCTACTACTACCTCTGTGGTTACTACTGCTAAGATAGAGGTGTCCTCCACTAGCAACGCAATTCATTTTGGAGTATCCTGCATCACCCCTACATCCCCTCCCAAGTTCAACTAGCAATAAATCTACAAAAAGACACCCCTAAAATGTTTATTGAGTCAGTGTGGATAGGCTGGTGCTGTGTGCCTGGCTGATTTGCATTAACTGGGGAAAGAACCTGCTTGGATCCACAGCAGCTTCTCGGGGGGGGGGGGGTAGACCTACACAAGTTTTGCATTGAAAAACTTTGGGTACCTCCCCCCTACCACCCCTGACATTAATGTGTATGCCAAAATGGATCCTTTTTTGTAAGGGCTAGTGTGAACAAGCCCTCAAAGCATTTCTTTTGCAGGGAAAGTTTTTAAGCTTTTGTAATTCATACTGACAGTATGCTTTAATGAAAAACTTTTGGTTTGTCCTGCATAGGCAAAAGATGGGTTCCCTTTAAAAAAAAAGAAAAGTCAGCAATGGCAGCTCCCACGTTTCCATCCTGACAGGTTGCTGTTCATTTCTTCTATATATTTCCTAAATTCTGCTGCCGTCTGCACAAATCATTATACAGTCAGCCAGGAGTAGCCTTTTTTACCTGACGTCCTTTGTTTACAGGCCCCCCGTGCTGGGAGCTCCAGAGCAGATATGACTCTAGCTCTTCATTCCCTCCCAAAATTTATTTACTGATCTTTTGCGGCTGCTCTAAGTGCCTATACTGTCACGTCGTACTGTTTATACATAAAATAAACTGAAATTCTTCTGAGCTTTTCCTGCCTGGCTGCTGGAACACAACTGTCAATCTCACGGAGTTCGGGGATCTCTCTGTTGTGTTCTGGATTTCTTTTATTCTGTCAGATTCATTTGCACCACCTGAATCTGTCAGCTGTTATCACCGCGGAGAAATAAAAAGAAATATACATTTTGGGGAAGTTTCCTTACGACACGGAGAGTCTTCCATCAGTGTTGTAATTTAATTTGGTGTGTCATCCCAGTGCAACTCAGTCATGGCAATTTATTTCTTGCAGGATAACGACCACTGTAGCATGCAGCATGGATTTAACCAAATATCCCATGGATAAGCAGACCTGCACTCTGCAACTGGAAAGCTGTAAGTGCTTATTTTATTATACTTATAATCATATGACTACCACAAATAATTCTGTTTACAATGTCTATGTAAAAGGAACGCTACATAGACATACAGGTAAGAATAAGTGGCCCAGGACGCACACTGTCTGCGTTTTGGGGCTGCTCACCCTCACCCACATGCCTGCCAATTAGGACAGGCATCTGTGTCCGTACAATCAATGCTTCCCTCTTGATTTACATGGGATGCCTGAACACAGCACCTGACGGCTTAAATCACCTGGATCATGGTGTATTCATGGCCTCAGCTCCTGTGTGAATGAGGCCTAATAAGGTTTGTATGTTTCGTATTTTATTATGCTTTTTGTGAGTCTGCATGCACTAAAACACCAATAAAAATGCTTGTGCCCTGTGAAAAATACTACAATAACTTAGCAAAATGCAGTATTTTTAGGTTCAGTCTAGCTGTAACTGGCATTTCAGGTTTTGGTAGCTGCTGGATAGTTTCGTGAGGTGGAGGATTTCACACTTGAGTTTTTGGGTCTGCGCCTCCTATGGGAGTTTTGCACCCTATCTGCTGGGATATTTCTATTTTTTTTCTTTCTCTTCTTTCTTTTTTCTTTTCTTTTCTTTTTTTTGCTGTAATATTTCTTTATATATAATTTATTTATTGATTAGAGGTATTTCTGTATCACGGACACAGTGCTTGACATACTGTGTATTCTTATCAGTCCCTGCCCTCGATTAGCTTACATACTATGGCCCCCATCTGACATGCACACATATAGTGTTTTTGCCAGTTTAGGCAGGTGGCAATGAATCTACTAGCATGTCTTTTGAGACTGGGAGGAAATCCATGCAAACTCCATGCAAGTAGTATCCATTGTTTAAATTAAAATAACAAACATGTTATACTCCTCTTCTGGGATCCCCCGGCGGTGAACTTGGCTCCTCCTCTTTTCTGTGTGCCCCCAAGCAAGCCGCTTGCTATGGGGGCACACTTGCGTGTTCCTTCCTGATAGCAATGCAGTACACCTGAATGGCTCTGTATGCTGTTTCTTCCTCTCTCAATCTGAGTTTTGCTGTACAAGGTTTGCAATAGGCTGATATCAAGTTTAATCTAGGTACTTGCACAGCTTGCATCTAAACATTATACATTAATGAATACAAAGCTGCATTATGTGTGACTTTTATATGTGCTTGGAGTGTATCTTTGAAATATTTTGGTTTCTATGGGCAACATCACAACTGCTACCATCAGCCATCTCTCATGGATTAGCCTCTGCACTCTGTGAACTGCTGCCTCTCCCTCTCAGCCACTTTTCAGAGAGGGATATATAAAAAGCATTGCTATATAAGGTTCATACATCTATATATAATTAATAACGTCTAATAGTTATTTGACATAATGACTGATTTCTAGCTCTGAGCAGCAGCAACTGACTAGGTCATAAAATATTTACATTACACACTTAATTTGAAGATTAATTTTTCTTTGTGGAAAAAGTACCATTCATCATGACAAAAATTAATGAGTTGTTTTTTTAGAAGATGCTTCTTTTGACTCAAACACACTATATATATATATATATATATATATATATATATATATATACACACACACACTGTATATACAGTTGCAAGAAAAAGTATGTGAACCCCTTGGGATTACGTGGAGTTTTGCATGAATTGGGCATAAAATGTCCTCTGAACGTCATCTAAGTCACAACAATAGAAGAATACAGTCTGCTGAACATAATGCTACACAAACATTAGATGTTGCCATGGTTTAATTGCACATAACATGTAAATATTCACAGTGCAGGGAGGAAAAAGTATGTGAACCTTTGGACTTAATAACTGGTTGACCCTCCTTTGGCAGCAATAACCTCAACCAAACGTTTCCTGTAGTTGCAGATCAGACCTGCACAACTATCTGGAGTAATTTTGGACCACTCCTCTTCACAAAACTGTTTCAGTGTAGCAATATTCTTGGGATGTCTGGTGTGAATCGCTCATGCCACAGCATTTCAATCGGGTTGAGGTCAGGACTCTGACTGGGCCACTCCAGAAGGCATATTCTGTGCTTTTGCAGCCATTGTTTTGTTGAATTACTTGTATGCTTTGGGTCATTGTCCTGTTGCATCACCCATCCTCTGCGGAGCTTCAGTTGGCGGACAGATGGTCATACGTTTTCCTGCAAAATGTCTTGATAAACTCTGGAATTCATTTTCCCATCAATTACAATAATCCGTCCAGGCCCTGAGGCAGCAAAGCAGCCCCAAACCATGATGCTCCCTCCACCATGTTTTACAGTGGGTATGAGGTTTTGATGTTGGTGTGCTGTGCCTTTTTTTCTCCACACATAGTGTTGTGTGTTCTTCCCAAACAACTCAATCTTGGTTTCATCTGTCCACAGTATATTTTGCCAGTAGTGCTGTGGAACATCCAGGTGCTCTTTTGCAAACTTCAAACGTGCTGCAATATTCTTTTTGGACAGCAATGGCTTCCTCCGTGGTGTCCTCCCATGTACTCCATTCTTGTTTAATGTTTTCCTTATTGTAGATGTGTCAACAAAAATGTTAGCATGTGCCAGAGATTTCTGTAGGTCTTTAGCTGACACTCTGGGATTCTCATTTACCTCATGCAGCATTCTGCGCTGTGCTCTTGCAGTCATTTTTACAGGACGACCACGCCCAGGGAGAGTAGCAACAGTGCTAAACTTTCTCCATTTGTAGACAGTCTGTCTTACCGTGGACACATGAACATCAAGGCTTTTGGAGATACTTTTGTAACCCTTTCCAGTTTCATGCAAGTCAACAATTCTTGATCGTAGGTCTTCTGAGAGCTCTTTTCTGCGAGCCATGGTTCACATCAGACAGTGCTTCTTGAAACCAGTAAACCCAAAACAGGTGTGTGTTTTTTAAGGGCAGGACAGCACACATCAACACATCCAATATCAGCAGGACAGCAACACATCCAATATCATCACACTGATTGGAGTCAAGGTTGGCTCACTTCTGGCTCCAATTAGCTCTGGGAGAAGTCATTAAGCTAGGGCCTCACATACTTTTTCCTCCCTGCACTGTGAATGTTTACATGTTATGTGCAATTAAACCATGGCAACATCTAATGTTTGTGTAGTATTATGTTCAGCAGACTGTGTTCTTCTATTGTTGTGACTTAGATGACATTCAGAGCACATTTTATGCCCAATTCATGCAAAACTCCACGTAATCCCAAGGAGTTCACATACTTTTTCTTGCAACTGTATATTTATTTTGACTCAACACTAAATATATATGTCATAAGCCTCAGTATATTTCAGTGAATTTGACTATAACTCAATTTTCCTACCTAAATCATTTTTGCAGTTTACAAAAATATAGATTACATACTTAATAATAGAATTATTGATATCATTATTATAGGCTGACAAATGGACAAAATTGTAAATGGGAAAAAAGGTTCACCAGAACTTAAAAAAAATTGCTTTAGATACACAGATACAAGTGATGATTCTTCTACAAAGGGGCGGACTGACCATTTGGAAACTTGGGCATTGCCTGAGGGCCCGGGGTCAATAGGGGGCCCCATAAGATGCCCCCGTACCTTTTTCATAGGCTTTTTTGAGTTTGGGCAAGGACACAGGGGCCCCATGATCCCCTATTGCCCGGGAGCCCATGAGTTGTCAGTCTGCCCCTGCTTCTACATTAATTTTCAAACCCCAGATGTCCATTGTCTAAAAATTCCTTGCCAAAAGGTGTCTCATCTCATAACGGAGGTATAAAATACTTATTTATTTGAATGTCATTCTGTTGTTGACCTTGCAAAAGTATACAGATAAGCAGTTCTGAGTAGGGATATAAGGTCTGGCAATGGCAAAGCAAAAACTTAGTTTTGCTCGCTACAGTTACATTTAAAATAAATAAATAAATTATATATATATATATATATATATATATATATATATATATATATACACACACACACACATCAACACTTTTTTCTTTTTTTTAATTTAAATATTTAAAGGATATTTTGTTTGGGAAGTGGTGTGTGTGTGCGTGTGGCACTGGTGGGGTTATTATAGTTCATTTATTTGTTGCATTTGTGTGGTTTTGTTTACTCCCTTTTTGTGTATTTTATCATTATTTGTGCACTCTGGCTTTAACATTTTTTTCAGCTTTTTTTGTGAAAAAATTAATGGGGCTAATATGTGGCCAATTTTGGCCCAGGATAATTTAAAAGGACATCTGTAACCCTATTTAGATCCCATAACTCCTTCAGAGTCTAAACATGTCAGATGTAAAATACTTGTTTTGCTAGGTGTAGCATAAAAATCACCTATAAATGCCTTATCCTTAGCTACTGCAGGCTTCCTGCTAGCTGCTTGCCCAGTCCCTGAAGCCAATTCTCTTCATCGGGCACAGGCACTCTAATATCATCATGTACAATGCAGGGCTATTGGTCCTACATTGTAAGTGAGGATGTCGAGGGCCCACCCACAATCCAGAGCATCAGAAAAAGGAGAAGGACGTTGGACGCTGATGAAGTGAAGCATAAAACAAGTGTACAAAAAATTATAATAAAAAAAAAGTACCCCAACACATCTCCCTATTTTATATATCCAATCTATGGGTTCTAAACCTTACATTCCCACCCACAGTGTGAAATGAGACAGATGTATCTATTTTAACCAGTGTGGTTAGGACTAAGGGTCTTATTTACTACAACTGGAGTGCAAAATGTGGTGCAACTCTGCATAGTAGCCAATTGCCTTCCAGGTTTTATTGCCAAAGCTTAATAGAACAAGCTGAAGTTTGAAGCTGATTTGCTACCATGTACAGTGCCAGTTTTAGTAAATCTCCCCCAAAGTGTTCTTGTATTTTAATACAACCATATGTTTTATTTCCTATCACATACAAAGTAATGGTTTCTAAAATACATTCACCTCTGTGAGTGCAGACATATTTCCCTTGCGTCTTTTATATGTGAGTAGGGTAAGTACAGTTGCTTTTTCTCGTACCCAACCCCCTAAACAAAACAAGCATTTAACCCTTCTATTGCTGGGGGAGCCCTCAATTTCACTGACCTCAAGCTTTCAGTTCACTTTAACTTTTCTGGCTGCCTAAACGTAGCTATTATTACTTCTACATAACCTGTCTTCTTTCCACAGGGGGCTACAACATTAATGACGTTATGTTCTACTGGACGAGAGGAAATGACTCAGTGCGAGGCTTGAACACGCTTCGTCTGGCGCAGTATACTGTAGAAGATCACTATACCTCGGTATCAGAAGCCGTGTATGAAACCGGTAGGAGCAGCAGTGTCATTCATACCACATCAAACTCTTTTAGATCAAGCTGTGATGAGAACTTCCTTACAAAGTTGTCACAGCCTGGGGCATCCCTGGCCCGCTGCACCTGTCAGGCCAATACTATAATACACAATGGGCAAGGTGGAATGGAGCAATAATAAACAAGATTTACTTGCAAGTTGCAAATCTTTCTTGTTTGCACATTTCATACTGTGCCTGCTGCCAAAATCAGGTTGCGCCGTCATAGTAAAAAAAAAATCAGGATGCTGGAAACTGAGAAGCTGTAACTGTAGCCAGTTTAATATAGTCAGACAGTTTGCCCATTGGGAGGTGGGCTTTCAAGAGACTCTCTGTATCTTTGACCTCTATGGAGTCTCTTTATCCCTGGAACTTACTTTCCTTCCAATGGGAGCAAATAATATGCAAATCTAATGGCAGACACAGAAGACATTTTACTAATTCAGACCTCTTCAACTATGACCTGCCAAGAAAAAGGAGGCAACCACACTAATAAATAACAATTCACATTTCTGTACGTTTTTAACAGTTTTTAACAGTTTAAGGCATGCGGTCTCTATAAAAAAACAATGACATGCAAATTCAGGAAGCAATCCACTTTTTAATACAGATCTCTTAAAACATACTGTACATGCTCCTTTCTCATTATCATTTTGTAAACTAATTTAGGAAAATATAAAACTGTAAAGGAATTTACCTTATTTGTTTGGGCATATATAAAGGGACAAAAGGGGGTTATTTACTAATACATGAGAGTGCAAAATCTGGTGCAACTCTGCATAGAGAACAATCAGCTTCCAGGTTTTATTGTCAAAGCTTAATTGAAAACAAGCTGAAGTTAGAAGCTGACTGGATACCATACACAGCTCCACCAGATTCTGAGTGCACTATTGCTCTATGTGAGGGTGGTCTCTCTGCAGAAGTCAGAGACCCTGCTGATTGGAGATCTCTGGCTCTGACTCAACAAGGGGTGTTTCAGAAAGCAAAGAGATCAGTGCTTCCCTACAGGCCCACTCTGCAGCTGCTGGCATGGTCCACTCCAACTTCAGCACAGGGTTGCCAACCGTCAGTATTTTTACTGACAGCCAATAAAAAATGGGCACTTTTCTCCAGCCAGTAAATGCCAGTGACAGAAAAAAGCTGCTTTGTTGAGAATATGGCTGTGACCCTCGGCTTGGAACTACGCATGCGCAGTTTCAGTCCGGAGCCGGCCGAGACCAACCAAGTGCCTGCTACAGTGTGTTCAGGCAGTGGCGGCAAGGGGGGCGGGTCTGGTGGAAGTGGTGCCTAAGTGTGTCGTGTGATTTCATGGTGCAAGGGAGCCTAGTGGAGTGGCCTGACACTCGTGTGTGGGTCTGTGGGACGAGAACAAGGCAAGCTGGGAGCAGGACTGCTGTTTGGACTGGAGTGTATAGAAGGGACCACCTGGCGTGGAGAGAGACAGACTGTCACTGTGACTCAGGAGGGGACGTGTCATGTCATTGAGGTGTCATCATCATCATCATCTGTACTGCTGCACACTGCTGTCAGTGTCACTGTGAGAGTCAATTTCATATGTATATGCCTGCCCATTCCAATTTTTTGCCCTCCTGAGTCCTATCCCTGAGCTACTTACTTACTATATCGAAAATAAAATAAGAAATATGTTATTTGCCTTAATATCTACCTTAAATCACATTGCTGTCTGCATATTGTACTTGTTTGTAGCCTAAATACTGACATTTGCACTTAAAACCATAATTTTTTTAACTTTGTGGATATTTGGAACAAATGGTTTCCTATGGAGTGGGGGAGACAAATAGCATACGGTAACAATTAATCACTAATGATTACACAATACTCTAAACACATTCATTTAAATACTACTACATTCTACAACTTACTACAAGAACAGGTGTACCTCGGTTTACGAACGCCTCGGTTAACGTAATTTTCGGTTCACGAATGAAAATCTATTGAAAATAATGCCTCGGTTTACACATTTTTTTCGCAATATAAAGTAAGTTTCTCCAAGATGAATTGCGCCTGGGAGGTTTATAGCTCCAGCCCCGTGAATGCTGGAGTCTGTGGGTAGCACGTTATGTCAAGTGTGAAGGTATATTGGAGCTGTTTTTGCATCACGTTTTGGAGCCATTCTGGAAATTTTTAATCATGTCCCTGTACAGTATTTATGCCTTTAAAGTGCACTTTATAAAGAGAGTTTTGAGCATATAAAAGACTTTTTTTTTACTTTTTTCTGACCTCCATAGCAGATTAATTGGTTTTCAATGCATTCCTATGGGAAACTGCATTTCTGTTTACAAATTTTTCGCAATACAAAACGTCCCAAAGAACGCGTTCAATTCATAAACTGAGGTACGTCTGTACTTTACTCAATAGGGAGCTATTTGTTGCAAAACTATAGTGACTGACAACTGATCACTTTAATAAAAATTGTCTGTGTACTCCCAACCTTCAAGTTTCAATTTTTTTGTGGTCAAAACCTGCGCTGAAAATTCAGGGCCTCCAAATGTGGATTCTAACTGCAGGATAGTAAGGTACAGGTAGGAGCCAACACCTTACGGTGCGTACTATGTAGTGTTTTTATAGTTTATTTTGCCTTTAAAAAGAAAATTTAAAACATGTTCCATTGCTTTAATTGTGCCTGTGTCAGTTCAGCTAAAAGAAAAATAACATGAGATGTAGCACACTGCAGACCTGGCTTCCTCAGCACTAAACTATACCATGACTTATGTAACCTGCATCTGCTTCTCTCCTGTTGCCCCCAGCATGCTAGACAGCATCAAAAGGCACTCAGAGGGAATAATACTTTTAAGCTGGTCTGTCCTACAGTGCAGGGTAATGAGACAAGTTCACTGGCCAAGTATTAAGTTTGATCTGTATGGTGGATCAGAAACAGGTTTTACAGATCTCTGTCCATTGACCTTTTTGACAGTATGAACAAGACAAGTCATTGTCCTTAACAGAAAACCTGACAGCTATATTTACTGGCTGCTGGTGAGACAAAAGACTGCACTGCTTCTTGTTTCTTTAACGCAGATCATGTTGTATTACCAGACAAATACACAGAAATGTAATTGAATTAAAATTTGTAGATAACTATTATAAATGAAAAAAAAACAGAATAGCATTAGTGACAAATTACTTTAATGGCATCCCAGTCTTACTCCGTAGGGTTCAGTATTGAGTTGGCCCACCTTTTGCAGTTATAACAGCTTCAACTCTTCTGGGAAGGCTGTCCACAAGGTTTAGGAGTGTGTCTATGGGAATGTTTGACCATTCTTCCAGAACATTTGTGAGGTCAGGCACTGATGTCAGATGAGAAGGCCTGGTTTGCAGTCTCTGCTATAATCATCCCAAAGGTGTTCTTTCTGGTTGAGGTCAGGACTTTGTGCAGGACAGTCAAGTTCCTCCACCCCAAAGTCACTTATCCATGTCTTTAAGGACCTTGCTTTGTCCACCCTCCTCCAAACTTTACACTTGGCGCAATGCAGTCAGGCAAGTACCGTTCTCCTGGCAACCGCCACACTCAGACACATCTATTGGATTGCTAGACAGACAAGCATGATTTGTCAATCCAGAGAACATGTCTTCACTGCTCTAGAGTCCAGTGGCAGCGTGCTTTACCACACTGCATCCAACGCTTTTCATTGCACTTGGTGATGTAAGGCTTGGATGCAGCTGTTCAGCCATGGAAACCCATTCCATAAAGCTCTCTATGCACTGTTGTTGTGCTAATCTGAAGGCCACATTTAGTTTGGAGGTCTTTAGCTATTGACTCTGCAGACAGTTAGCGACTTCTGCGCACTGTGCTCTTCAGCATGTGTTGACCCTGCTCTGTCATTTAATGTGGCCTGCCACTTCATGGCTGAGTTGCTGTTGTTCCCAGTTGCTTTTGCTTTGTTATAATATGAATATTTAGTAACAAGGAATTTTCACAGAAGGACTTATGCACAGGTGGTATCCTATCACGGTACCATGCTTGAATTCACTAAGCTCCTGAGAGCAACCCACTCTTTCACAAATGTTTGTAGAAGAAGTCTGCATACCTAAGTGAACTTGTACACCTTGGGCCATGGAGGTAATTGGAGCACCTGAATCTAATAATTTGGAGGGATGTCCCAATACTTTTCGCAATATAGTGTAAGTTAGTAAATTCTGGTGGCAATATGAAAAAACAAAAAGAACAATGCAGTGTAAATGTGAGCAGAGCTTGACCAAAGTAAATCATTTAGTTTTAAGTAGTAACAAGCAGGCATGGAAGTTAATAAACAATAGTAAGAAGTATGTATGTACAAAACATCTACAAGCTCTGGTGACCACTGGGATAAGTAGGTGCTAGATCTCTCCCAGAACATACAATATATCTCCAAGGATACAAAGAACATCCTTGCATAGCCAAAAAGAATAAATAATTACTTTCAGTCTGCCTTGCAAAGTTCTCTTGGTGTTCCCAGTTGCATCAGCCCCTGATGAAAATGGACTTCCTTTGAAACACGTTGGATAGTGAGTGAATGGGCAGCCAACAGAGTGCCAGCCTCCAGTGAGTAAGCATCGAGTGAGAGACTGTTTCTGATTTGATGGCTATACCCTGTGACCTGGGATTATACTGTAAAAGTAGAAGGCGCATCTTTTAACTCTGAGGAGTTTCTGAGAGTTACATGTCTATGTTCATTGCTAGAGGTGAAACACAGGCTTGTTTGCAGAAGTTTCATGACATTGAAACTGCTGTAGCGTGATGTGGCTGGGAATGCCAGGTGAATATTGCAAGAAGAATTAAAATCAATTGGTTAATCTTTTGACTATAAAGGGAGTTACTGTATATCCTCTTCGAGCAGATTTGCCAGGGTAAGGAGAGTTTATATCATAGCGGAACTAAACCCTCCTATCATTTACAGATAAGGAAGCTGCCATTTTAGCTTTTGTTTGGGATGCAGTTGCCATGCTGCTGCACATCAGCCATTTGATAGCTTGGCAGTTTGTTTTAGAACACACGCAACTGTGATAGTTATCATTCGCTGTATGCCTTGATTGTAATTGTTTTGGGAAGCAGTTAATTTGATGGCTTTAGTTCCACTTTGAAAGCTAAACGTTATACTTGATGGAGCATTTTAGGGGAGGGACAGTGCAAGGATCACCTTGAAGTCATTGTCCATTGTAGTCATTGATGTCAGTGGCAGTTAGTCAGTTCCCACCCACTGTCAGAATGCCCGCCACAGTTCCGCAGTCCCGCTATAAGTCGCTGATTGCTGCCATTACTAGTATTACAAAAATAAAAATTCCAGTATACTTTATATACCACCATTTGTAGACGCTATAACTTTCACGTAAACCAATTAATATACACTTATTGGGATTTTTTTAGCAAAGACTTGTAGCAGAATACATTTCGGCCTAAATTTAAAAAGAAATTAGATTTTTTACTTTTTTTATTGGATATGTTTTATAGCAAAAAGTAAAAAAAAATTGTTGGTTTTTATTGTTTATACCGCAAAACATAAAAACCAAAGAGGTGATCAAATACCACCGATAGCAAGCTCTATTTGTGGGAAGAAAAGGACATAAATTTCATTTGGTTGCAGCATTGCATGAGGATGCAATTGTCAGTTAAAGTAACACAGCGCCGCATTGCAAAAAATGGCCTGGCCAGGAAGGGGGGTAAATCCTCTAGAGGGCAAGTGGTTAATTTATAAACTGAAACGTTATAGGCAGTGCTCATGTGATCAAAATGTAGCCTGAGCACCATCAGTTTACATATTCTGAGGCTTTGTTCAAGAGCTGCTGTCAGATCACAGTGACAGAACCGGAAAAAGAAGCATTAAGAAAAAAACAAACGTGGCAGATTTTTCTGTTTATTCTGATACCTAACTCTGCAGTTTAAAAATGAAATCACTGCCCAGAGGGGAAATGGCAATTATAAGTAAAACTCTAATATCATGACCTATAAAAAGACACAAGTTCTTTTGATAGGTTCTCTTTATATATTGCATTGGTCAGGGTGGCTGTAAATAACCAGCTACTACTTGGCAAATGGCAAACACCAGTTTAGTTCCTTATTTTTTTCAGATAGCAAAATACTTCCCCGTCCTTGCTGTTGGATCTTAAAAACGAAAACCATGGTTTATAAAAAGAAGATAGTGATCAGAAGTTTGCTTTCATTTGCTGCCTGTAATGATTAATTGCTAAGGTCAATACTTACCAGTGTCGACTCTAGGAACAATATATAGGGGGCACATCACAGTCAAAACTGTGTGGGGGGGCACTAATAATATTCACCACTAGTCGTGCCACTGAAAAAAAATGAAATAAGTACATAAATAATATTATAAAATATGAGAGCAATGTGGTATGCAATGACACCTTTTTATTGTACTAACACTTAAAAGACAAGCAAGAGTTTTCCTTTCTTCCTCGGGTATTGCTTCAGACCTGAGAAACAGAGGAAAACTCTCAAAAGCTTGTCTTTATAGTTTAAAGCAATTTCAGCAAATACCAGGGCTGTGAAAAATTGTCTATGTTAAATATGTCACTAATGAAGACCAGTGAATATTATAGTTAGTCTATGACCAGCTCAATTTTGTGCATTAGATTAGACATCACTCAGCCAGTCAAGACTGGGGAAAGATCTTGACTTTAAAGTCGGGATCCACCCCAGAGTCTGGAGCAGCACTTGGCCCAGCCTCTCAGTAAGCAGCTGAGACCCTGAGCTAGCCAATCTCTCCCCCTGCACAGCCCACATATGAATGCTGCCGCTATTTACATATGAATGCTGCCGTTATTTACATATAAATCCTGACATGGTCTGCACATGTGAGTCATCTGTACATGGCAATAGGGCAAAGCTGGGCAGCATAAGTGACAGTACATCACACAGATATCGGGACATATTGCGGAACGGGGACAGTTGGCAAGTATGGGGCAGCTGCTTTGGGCCCCACAACAATGACTGGACCCAGGGCAGCTGCCCGTTTTGCTCCTCCTCAATGACGACCATGAATGCTTGACCAAGCAACTGGCAGTCAAAATAGTGCAGGACAGAGTAGCAAAAAATGGCCTGGTCGTGAAGGGGAGTAAAACCTGCTGGATGTCAGGTGGTTAACTTAACAACCACCCGCTTGCAATGTACATTGGTGCCTATTGGCCAGCAGCCGTTGTGATTTTACACAGAGGAAGTCTGTCAGCAAATCCCAGCCAGTGACTCAGGACCTGCTGATCAGCTGTGTACAATCACAGCCCAGAGCTTTGTATTGACAATCAACACAGAGCTCTGTACAGAGGGAACAATCTCTTTGTTTCTCATTCCTGCAAAGCAAACTATTCCCCCACACTGACAATGCTACTGTCTAATAGGTGCCCCTGTGCTCCTTCATCCAGAATGTAGGCACTCTAATACAAGAGGTGTGTAACTGGCCAGGTCACCAGGGAAAAACAGAGGAAAAAAACCCTAAAAAAGAAAAAACAAATGATTGATGAGCTGCAATATGTTACATTTTTGGTTTTGTATTTAATACCGATTTAAATTCAGTTCAATGCATGCAGCAGTCTACTGATGAAAACAATGTTTTAGATAAAAATTTTGTCCTTAATAAACCATTACAGACCACTATACAGGTGCAGATGGTTGTGCTTTCACGATGATTCTGATTGCCGATCTATTCTCCAAGCCATAATAACCCAATTGCTGTATAAACACTGTACACTGGGTATACAGACTTATTCAATAAGGCAATATATAAAGTGCAGTGCCCTTTAGCAATGAGAATACACCTTCTGCTGATCTGACTGCAGGAAACTCAGATGTGGTTCTTGCGGCTTGCTGCACATTTCTCTTTTAACTGTTTCTCTGTGTATGCCAGGGAATGTCACACCACTTTAGATCACGGCAAATCTAATTTTCTCTTGATTTTCCTACACAGGGCGATACCCGAAGCTGGTATTTCATTTTGATCTGAAAAGAAACATCCTGTATTTCATTCTGGAGACCTATGTACCATCAATCCTTCTGGTTGTACTCTCGTGGGTATCATTTTGGATCAGCCAATCATCTGTACCTGCAAGAATTTGCATAGGTAACATTTCTCTTGCTGCATTCTCCACAATGGTTTACCGTGACTGAAGGTTTTTGAAGCAAGATGAAGAATATTAACCATCACCTGCAAAGCTATTACTTTTGTGTCGGTGGATGATGTCAGCATGCAAACATCTTTATACTAATCACAGCAGCACTGATGTGAAGGTCTAGGCTTCTTAAGCCTTAAACATATTGGAATTATTTAATCTTAGTTTGAAAAAGCTCATTTTAAACTGCGTCATCTTTATCAAGCCTTTAGGTTTGAGGAGCTTAGTTGCTGCCCTTAAAGCATCATTAAACTTAGACCTGGACAGTCTGGACACAGCTTTAAATGGGAGTTCTGGCTGTCATTCAGGGAAAAGTGACAGCAGGTTGTTTTCTATCCCAGCTCCTTTTCCATTGATGTTTTCCCTTGCTCTATTGCTCTAATTGAGCTGGGATTCTGGGTATGGCATGTGACCTTCTTCTTCTGATAGTGCTTGTGGCTGCGTTTCCAAGTTCCAGGCACAGACACAGATCACATGGGAAGGGCAGTGACACCATCCTCTTGGGTGAGCTCCTAGTTGGGGAAGATACGGGGTTATCAACACATACTGTCATTTGCCCTGAATAAGCAAAGTGACATTGTCTCTTAAAATAAGCTTTCCGAAGGTGTTAGCAAGCTTCAAGCACTGCCTACTGCCTGCATGTCCCATAGTAATGGATGAGCAAGCAGGAGGAACCACAGCTCTCAGCGGAGGACATGCTATGTGCCCCAGAAGTGTTGAATAGCAATGTGCCTAGAACTCTTCAAGAAAGTAAAGAACTAAACTATGCAAAATACACACCTCCACTTTCCGATTACATCCCACTCTGGCTGCTGTCATCTTCTCTCCTGGTGGTGGTTTTCAGGCCCTTGATTATCGAGTGGGGAATGATGTCATCCCATGCATGGGAGTCAGTCATTCCAGTACAGCCATAGTGTGCAGTGAATGCAGGCTGAGATGCAAATGAATGCAAATGTACATTCTTTAGAGGACTGTGTCAGGTAAGTGTGTTTTATTGCAGAGAAGATCTAGCATGTCTCTTCTGCCATAAAGAGCAGTTTGTTTGCGTACTATAGAATTTTAGATTCTAGTTCAGGAGTTCAGAAGTTCAGGAATTTAAAAAAAAAAAAACTCACCTAGCTGGATGTAGCTACTATCCATGCTGTATCTGTCCCCCTTTGGCTTTGAGACCAATAACTAGGTGATCAAACCCCACTGATCACCCAGTTCTCAGTCTTCAGTGAGCAGAGAGCTGGGAACTGTCAAAAACTGGCTCTCTGCACTGCCCCTCCAGCACTCACTTTAAAGTCGGGATCTTTCTAGAGCCTGGATCAGCTCAGTGATGTCAGCCAACACCAGGCCAGTGTGGGCTGAAAATGAGTCACAGGAGTGTAGAAAAAACGGAAAATCTGTGATCCATAGGAGAAAAATAGCCAAAACAGCTTTGGCCATATTTCTCCTTTAAGTATAAAACCTTTTTTTTAGGGTGTGTTGTTGGTTTTATTTTTTAAGGCAGCAACAAAAGGGCTTTAGGGCTTCAAAAAATTGTCAAGCTCTGCTAAATACTTTCTAAGTGGCTGTTGAAGTTGTTGCTCTTTCGGAGAACATTTACCAGCAAGGATTTAAAGAATAAGTTCACCTTTCGTAACATGTTTCATCAATATTCAGGGTGTAACATGTTACTATCAGACCGGCCCTGCTCCCCCTCCAATCCCCGCTTTGGCAGCTAAGGATCTTCTCCCTCCTTGCTAGGTGTTGATTTTAAAAAAAAAAAATCGGGCCTGCAGGGCTCCGCCCACATGGCCGCGTCACTCATTCGCAGTCATTTGTGAATGAGAGGCTACAAGTCCTGACAGCCTTAGTGAAGCACTGTGAAGCGCCGTGGTAGTTCATTCATTCTTCCTGTCAGTATATCTGCTTGCTGTACATCCCATATGAGGAAGCAGATATACTGACAGATCTGCAGGACACCTGCATGGCACCAGCAATCTGATGATCGCTGGTGCAATGGTTTACAGGCTCCTGTAGACAAAAATAATAAATGCACATTTTTTACCTGCAAAAAAATGTGCGTTTTATTATTTTGTTTCTAAAAGGTGAACTTATCCTTTAACAATACTGATGCTTAGGGCTTAAAAGAGAATCTATCAGTATAAAAATATAGCAAATGCCAGCATTTAAAAAAAATGTAAAGTGGTACACAAAGTGTAAACAGAGATTACCTTCAGGATTAAATGAGCAATGGATCCAGATCTATAGGTTGGGATCTCCTGCCCTTATTGTTCATGCTAATGCTTCTGCCTATCAAAATGTAATTTTATTGTTATTATCAGCAATTGGGAATCTCCCAGACATAGGCAGGCAGCAGCAGTGTGTATTATTACATGGCGTAAAGCTGGACAAATGGCAAACCACTAAATACACATTTAAAATTCTCATATGGGATTTATCTAACCCTCCAGAAATATTTTTTCTGTCCATCTAGTCCTGAGATTAACATATAACTAAAAGATAGAACAGCAAAGGTGACATGACTGTTTCACAATTAGCAACTCCCATCCCCTTAGCCTGTATTTGGACCTCTATGATCTCTCCTTCTGAAAGCATGTTCCTTATCAGTAGCTGTGGATGCAGTACACTTGATTGGCTCAGAATGCTGCCCCTACTTCTCCCAGTCTGAGTGCTGTTGCACAGGGGATTACAAGAGATTCAAAGTCAAATTCAATTATTTTATTCTTGCTTTATTTAAGTACATAAATGCATTAATTGCTTTATTTTTAAAATCTGTCAATTCAGATTTCGTATTAGCTTATGTTTAAAATGTATGATTATTTATAAATGTAAAATTGATGTGTAAGACTTGTTTTTGATTCTTCTAGGAGTGACTACTGTTCTGACAATGACCACACTCATGATGGGTGCCAGAACATCTCTCCCCAATGCCAACTGTTTCATAAAAGCCATTGATGTCTACCTTGGAATTTGCTTCAGCTTTATATTTGGTGCGCTGCTGGAGTATGCAATAGCCCATTTTTGTACTCTTCATCGCCCAGATCAAAGGAAAGCTGCCCAGGTAGTGTATAATCTAGAATGCTTTCATAATGTAAGATTTGGTTAAAAGTTTGTGGACAACTTAACACCACTTATGAACTTATTGGACATCTCATTCAAAAACTATGACCAGTAACATAGAGTCCATCCACCATTTGTGACTATAACAGCCTCCAATCTACCTTGAAGGTATTCCACAATATTTTGGTGTGTGTATCTGGTAATTAGTGCCAATTCAGCCAAAAACCTCAGTTAGACTTACCGGTAATGATATTTCTAGGAGCTTATCAGGACAGCACCTGAAGAGAGCGTAGCTCCACCCATTTTCCCAGAAACACTGCAGCCAAGACTTTAACACTTGCCTCTTCCACCATGCCTTCAATTGTAGACGAGAAGCCCAAGACATGCTGTAAAACAAAAACACAGAAAAAGTACAACCATAATAGATCACATAACAATTAAACAAGGATCCAGGGAGGGTAGTCGCTGCTCTCCTGGAAGGCTCCTAGAAATTCTGTTACTGAGGTTTTCCCAACTCTCCTTTCAGGACAGCACCTGGAGATGATAACTGAGAAACTTAACCTAGGGCAGGACAACTGCTTACAGGACTTTTCTACCAAAAGACTGGTCAACAGCCAACAACAGGTCCAACCTATAATATCAGATAGAATCAGAGAAGCTAGAGCAGGTAGTGGCTTTGCATATCTGATATGGTAAAAATGCACCAGCCCTTTCAGTCCAGGACACAGCCACCTCTCTTGTCGAATGGGCTGCGATTCGCTCTAGTGTTTTTTTTTCTACTGCAACATAAGCTTCTTGATAGCCTGCTTGAGCCACCTTCCTAAGGTATCCTTAAAAGCTTTCTCGCCTTTGCAAACTCTTGAGAAGAGGACAAACAAAGAGCTAGATTTCCTAAAGCTTTTGGTTGTCTGCAAATACTGTAGGAGACATCTCTTCACATCCAACATATGGACAGCTTCTTCTCCTGGCTTAAAATGAGCCAAAATGTAGGGAAAATAATTTCTTTCAAGTAAATGCAGACAAACCTTTTAAGAGGAACCCTGGGTCCGACCTGAGGATCAGGGTTATCTGGAAACACAACTAAAAATGGTTTCACAATGGACAGGGCTTGAATTTCACTTTTTTTTCAGGCAGAAGTAACTGCTACTGAAAGAATTGTTTAAGGACCAAACTCCTTAATGAATCTTCCTTCAAGGGCTCAAATGGACTGCTCGTGAGACCCTGTAACACAAACGATAGATCCAATCTGGGAAGGAATTTAAGGGAAGCAGGCCTAGCCCTAGCCAATGCCTTAAAAAATTTAATAATAAAAAGTTACTGAGATAGCATCCTCTCCAAGAACACTGACAAAACTGCAACTTGATCCTTGGGAATACTTGCAGCTAAGCCCTTCTCAATTCCTTTGTGGAGGAACTCCAAAACTGAAACTACTTTCTTCAGCTCAAAGCCTTTGATGAACACCATGAATTATACGTAAAGTTTTCATACTTTAAAGTATATTGCTCTGGTTACTTTTTTCCTGCTTGAAGGGAGGGTAGCTATGAGCTTGTCAGATAGCCCCATTCCTCTTAACAGAGCCTCTTCAGATACCAAGTTGTTAATTTGAGGCACTGTATCTCTGGATAGCACAAGGGACCCTGTACCAGCAAGTCCTTCCTGTTTGGCAGCCTCCAGGGGGTGTCTCGCAGACAGGTATAGGAGCAATGAGAATCCAAGGCCTTTTTGGCCTAAAGGGGACAATTAGTATCAATTCCATGGCTTCTTTCCTGAACTTCATGAGTACCAGCGATATCAGTTGAATTGGAGGGAATGTATAACACAAGGGGTATGCCCATGGATAAGCTAATGCGTCAGCCCCACCTCTTGATCCTCTTTGTGCAGGGAAAAGAAAACAGGGCATTTTTAATTTCCTGACTTGCAAATAAATCAGCCTGGATTACTTTTAATTCTCTTCAACTGGATGATCTTCTGGCCTCTGCTTTTGACCATGAGCCCTGTGTCACTAGTTCTTCTATATGGGTTCCCCAACCCCAAGCACTTGCATCTGTAATTAAGCACTTGGCCGTGGGGAAAGACCACTGCAGACCCTTCTCCAGATTAGCCCGATTTCTTCACCACCACCTGTGTGGAGATCTTTATAGGTTTCTCTAAAGACTCCTGATGAGAGCAGTTGTGAAGAATGGCTAGCTGGACTGGGCAAGACTGAAGCCTAACCAACCTAACTGCCCAGATGAAGGTAGTGTCAGGGCTCCCGGGTATGACCAGAGGTGTGTGACTGACGCAGGGAAACGCAGACTTCAGATATGTTATAAACAATGTAATTTATTAACACTAACCATACAAACATAAACGCAGTGCAATACTAAAACATAACACAGTGCAAACAAACCAACCAACCACCCACAGATAACAGTACATACAATGCAAGCGTCGTCAGGCAGGCCGGGTCAATATCAGTCGGGCAGGTAGGTACAGGGGGAGCAAGCGGAGAATGGTCGGGGTCACAGGCCAGGTTCAGCAGGTAGCGGGCAGCGTGGTACAGAGGGTCAGGCAGAGGAGAATGGTCAGACAAGCCAGGGATCAGAGCAGGGTCAGCAGAGAATCAGACAGGAACAGGGAGCAGGAACAGGATACAGGGCCCAAGAGAAACACAACACCAAGGCAGAGTCTGCAGGTCTGAATGTCCCTTAAATACACCAGTATAATTAGTTCCAGGTGTTTGACTGGCTGCAAGGTTGAGTCTCTGATTGCTGGGAGCACCCGCTGGCCAGCCCTGGTACTGCAGCTCATAAGGCAGCTGAGTCCCACTATTGCTGGCCAGTCCATTCCTGACAGGTAGTGAGCAGTCCAAGTGTTGACATTGCTACCCACACTGATACTGAGAGGTTGGTCTGAACTTGAGCCAGGGCCAACTGGATATTTTCCATCTTCTTCTTTGGGAGAAAGATTTTCTGTTGCACCGAGTCTATGGCATAGCCCAAGAACCTCACTCACTGAGCTGGTAGCAAGATTGACTTCTCCAAATTTAATAGTGAACCCAGCCTTTGAAGGTGTACTTGCGTCACCTGCAGATCTGACAGCAACTGACTCCTGGATTCTGCAAACAGAAGCAGGTCGTCTAAATAAGGCACAATTGAGATCCCCTTCAGCCACAAGGTCCAATACCTCTGCCATCACTTTGGTGAACACCCTGGGGTAAGATGGTAGCCTGAAAGACAGCACTCTGAACTGCAGATGCCACACTCTTGGCCTGAGATTGATCGCCAAATGGAGAAACCTTTGCGATGAAGGAGCTATAAGAATGTGCAGGTAAGTATCTCTGAGGCCTATAGACGCCATGAAGGAAACTGGAGTCAGAAGCTTCCTTACTAAATAAATTGTGTCCATATGAAAACGCTTGTACCGAATGGATCTGTTGAGGATCTTTAGATTCAAAATTAAACAGAACTTCCCGGAAGATTTGTTGACAAGAAAAATGTGCAAATAGAAATCCTGGCTCTCCTGTTCCCTGGGAACCTGAATGATGACTTCCTGCTGTATCAGTTCCTCTAAGGTCATTGCCGGAGCTTTTTCCTGGTCCCTTGGGAGACTGGTAACAAAAAATCTTTTCAGAGGAATCTCTGAAAACTCCAGACTGTAACTTTGAGCGAAGTTGCTTCTGACAAACACACTTGACGTTGCTTATTCCCACTGCAGGAGGAAGGACAGAAGTCTTCTTCCCAGCAGGTGGAGACTGTCATTGGCTTTCTACGGACTGCACTGGAGGCCTGAAGAGAACCCCTCCTTTCCCTTTACTTTTTTAAGGGTTCCAACTTATGGCTCTGTCCTTTATCTTTCCGTGAAAAATTTAAAAAATTCCTCCTAAGCGGCTGTTTCTTCTTCTTGGATGGGAACGCTTTCTTATTATTTATTGTCTCAACAATGTGTCAAAACTGTGTCAAGGTCTGCACCAAACAGCAGGTCACCTGAAAAAGGGACCCCACACAGCTTGAACTTTGAAGCTGTATCTCCAGACCATGTTTTGAGCCAAACGGCTCGCTTGGCTGACTTAACCAGAGCCCAGGACCTGGCTGACATTCTAATCGACTCAGCTGAAGAATCCACCATGGTTCACTGCTTTCAGAAGAGGAGGAAAAGATTCAGACAACACACTGTTCTAGAGGTCCGTGTCTCTACATACTCCTTTAACTGGTCGAGCCAGCATTCTAAAATTTCTGGCCACCACCGTAGAAGCCATTGCTGGCTTAAGATTGGAGAAGGTGGAATGCCATGCTTTGTTGAGAAGGGAATCCGCCCTCTTATCCATTGCGTCTTTGAGGATGCCCATATCTTCGAATGCCAGGTCTGTGCGCCTGGACACTTGAGAGAAGGTAGCATCCAATTTTGGCTTTTTAGTCCATACCCATGCCTCATCCTCCTCAAACGGGAACCTCCTTCTGAGGGATTTGGAAAATAATGGACCTCTCTCTGGATCGTTCCATTCCTTCTTTACTGCCACTGATAGGAAAATAGTAAAAAACGGGTAGGCTGATGACGTCAAGCCGTAAACCGGAAGTCCACGTGCCGCTATTTTGAAAGAGGGATTGCAGCATACATTCTACTTGGAGCACTGTATAGTGAGTTTTTAACCCTGTGGTGTCCCTGAAGGACACATTTTAATGTGAGTGGATACATATTTTTTAAAATAAAGGCTATTTTTGGTATACATACTACACTATATTCCAACGTATACAGTCATAGACAAACAGTTTATGGCAATGTGAAAAGCGACAGTTCAAGCAGCAATGCATAGAGACCAGCAGAGGATCTTAATCATGTTGGACCTTTTATGGGATGTTATAAAAAAGTTATAACATTGCAGCAGTCTACCAGTCTCTTGTTACATGGTAGCAGTCTTTTGTAGTTTCCTATACCTAATCTAGAATGAAAGCCTGTGTGGAGGAAGCTGAGTCAAAAAAGGCAAAGGGCTAGTCGCTAGCATTACCTAAAGACTGCCCCCAGCTGGCATTCCATGCTTTGTTCAATGTTCTTTCTCTGTGTGGCAGT